GCTCATATATTAAATCTTTCTGAAAGTGTCAAGGCTTTGCATGGATTAAGACGACGAGATGGCTCATTCATGGGGTTGCCATAAGCTTTGCATGGATTAATATGATCAGCAAACGGCTGGCTGCTCCTGCAGGATCAGATACCCACCTTCTAACTGCTGAGCTTCTTGCATAACATGCTGGACCAGGTAGACTTGAGTTCCTCTGGGCAAGGCGGTTAAGTAAAATTACCAAGGCCAGGTCCCTCTGACTCAGATTAATTGTGCCTTAACTTCGAGAGATTCTGCATTTTCACCCAGAGACCGTGGGCTTTCTAGGAGAACAAACGAACAAGTCAGCAAAACTGCACTTAAGTAGACCTGTGGTTTAACAACAGAGAAGTAAGTCCCGTTGGAACCCGCCAGCAAGTAACATGTTAAAAGACTACCAACTAAGAGATCCCCTGCCATTACGGGATAATTCTTGCAGTAAGTATGGGCAATCAGAAGAGCTACACCATAGCCCAGTGGCTTAGGTCTCTGGCTACAGAGCCCGAGGTTCCGAGTTCAATTCCCGGCTGTGCCTCCCTGACAGGGTCAGGACTACCAAATCCAGAGGGTACCTTCCAGCTCTACAATCCTAAGATCGTATCCTTAACTGTTCTAACTAGCCCTAGCATATGTCATCTTAAATTTAGAAAAACAGATCTCTTCCTCACACATGACTGCGGGGTTATCTGCAAGAATCTGTAGAATCGTGTCACAGCAAAGCATGTTGGCTACACAAAATGAATCGAAAAGGTTATTATAATAGGGAACTAGAGCCAGCAACCTTGCCATCGATGTACAGAGCTGAACCGCTGAGATTTCTCTGGTTGGGAAGCCAGAATTTGGGAGTTCAATTCCTCCACTGTGCCTCCTACAAGAAGAGCAAGCCTGTGTAGCCTTGGGCAAGCTGCATAGTCTCAAAATATCCCCAAAAGAAGGGAATGATGAGTCTTTTCTAACTGGAAAACCCTGAAAAAGGCCACCAGAAGTCAGAATTGACTTGATGGCATATGATTATTATTATTTACCGCAATATTTTCTGTCTACCCTAACACACTTCCAAGAAGCCTAGAAATAAATCTCCTACATACCTTATTTAAGATATTATTTTTTTCCTCTCTCTCTCACTCCTATGTCCTGGAAATCCTTTTCATGTTTTGGCCTCTTGAGCTCTGACCATCTAGCTAAACACTAGCAGGTCAGCTCCAGATATAATTAGAGTAGACCTACTGAAATCAACAGAATGTAAATTAGGCATGATTGATTTCAGTGGGTCTGTGCTGAGGATGCCTAACTCTGGATCTACATCAGCATCTCATAATTACAGGTCTGGGTCATTCAAGGGTCAGTGTAAAATATTTTAATTATTTCCCTTCCATTTCATTAAATTAAATTCATACCTAACTGGATCCTTCACACAGGCATTTTCTCACTACTGTAAGGTAAGCAATGCCTGTGTACCTCATATTGACATATATATTTTTGTTGTACCTACTGTATTTTGGGCTTCTTGTTGTTACTGTCACGTTGCCTCACTTCACTGTGTTAAGATGTGCATCCGATAAGTTTTTTTAAAGCCTATATTATATTAGTTTTCCTTCGCATTTTAATTTTCTCCTCCTAGCAATGCATATTGAACATCCCTATATTATACATTGCATGGCATGTGGAAATAACACCAACATAGACGAAACAAATAACAACAATACTTACCGTTAGCATACCCAGCAAGTTATATTCTGTAAATATAGAGAACTTGAGTAGCGTTCTTTAGGAAATATACATTCTGAGACAGGCAGGAGTTTCCCCAGAGGGTTTGAGCAGCTCTAGTCTCCTGTTAAAATTGAAAAAAAAAATATTCAAAATCCCCATTGAAATGGGCACCATGCCAGGAGGCAGCCCCAAGCCCACCCTTGCAACGACCTTCAGAAAAAGTGATTCCCTGACCTTAACTCCGTTCTTAAATTATGATTTTTATTGGCAAGGCCTGCCCTGAGGGGTAAGCTTTACTCCCTTACGTGAAATGCCCCTCCGATGTTTACACAGCCCCAGGGGGGTACCTCTCCCTGTGCCAAGATCGCCATTTTCCTCTCTGCCCGTCCCCTGCCCGAGTCAGTTCAGGATGGCTGCCCTTTTCCTGAGACGGCAAGGCGCCCCTATTGCATGAATATTTTTGATTTAAAACAAAGGCCTTTTATAGGCCGAGGCCTGCCTGCCCAGCGCACCTTGGCCAGGAGGCCATCGCTGATGCCCTGGGTGGGCGCGGGGGCCGCACCGTGGGGTCCGGCGGGCGTGAAGGATGAGGCCGGGCGAACGGCCGCTGCTCCTGCCCACTTGGAGGGCATGCTTGAGCCTTGCCAGGCAGGCCTGACCCCCCTCCCCGTAGGATGGACCAGAGGGGCACGGATGTGTGTGTTGTTGCCATGACACCCGTTGCACCCGTGCGCCTCACCTGGGCACCGGGCCGTGCGGGGTGGGCGGGGGCGGAGGAGCAAAACGAGAAGAGAGAAAGCCCCTTCTCTGAAACCGGGTGGCTTTGCAATCGAAAACAAAGCGTCAAATCAAATCAAATAAATCCAGCGGCCAAGGCCTTTGGAGCCCCACAGGCCTCGCCCTGGCCGGAGTGTAGGTTTGTGGGGAGAAAGTCAGTTAGGCCAGGATTTCACCTTAATGGTGACAGATTGGGAAGGCTTGCTTCTTTTTTTGATTACAACTCCCAGAATGCCCAGCCAGCATGGCCTCTGGGAGTTGTAGTCCAAAAGAGTTTTTATTTTTATTTATTGATTGATTTATTGTATTTATACCCCACCTATCTAGTCATTTCGACCACTCTAGGCGGCTAGGTTGACCTCTCTGGGCTCTGTTTGAGACCTCAGGGAGGGTGGTGGGAGAAAGCAACCAGGCCATTAAATCCTACGGCTTGAGTTGTCATCGATTAAGGTGATTTACATACGAGTAAGAGAGCTGGAGCCATCTTCGGGACTCCAGGGAGGGGAGCAAAGGCAGACGGCCCCCTTGAACCCAGAGCTCCCCGCCTGAAATGTTGAACATGTTCCTCCATTCGGTTTTTACTTTAAAAAATTAAATTCCAGCAACCCGGTCCAGCAGGTTTCTGGCAGATGAGCTTGCTCATCTGTTTCGACGTGGACAGCAAATAAAATAAAGTCGACTGGCAACGAATAAAAATATCAAAGCAAAAAAAGATGTGGCGAGCTGATTTACTGTATTTCAACACGAGCCTTCGTGAAATTCAGTTCACTTTCAGAGATACACGGTGTGATGGCAAGATGTTCAGCCACTTAAGAGGTACACAGCATACATAGCTGTGAGGGTGGGAAACTGGACACAGGGATAAAGAACGAATTTGCAAAGTGACTGTCATTAACATAATCAACAATACCATTACCACTGAAATTCCTTCATCTGTACCCGTCTCTCCCCCCAGCCATATTGTACGTAAACTTGCTGCTAAATATTTCAGTCCCTATTACTGAGGACGTGGGTTATAATCCACACACATTTGTGATTAAGGTGCTACTTTTGTTTTTATTTTCAGTTTAGTTTAGTTCCAGGTGCTAAAACCGACTGATACAGCGACCTCTTTGAACGACGCTGAAATAAATCATAGTTCTTCCGTTTTCATTTGTGCATTCATGGTTTTCCTTTTGTGACGCAATCACTATCTGTAAATGATCTACCTGAGTATATTCATACTGTAAATCCTCTCCCTACAGTTTCCAAAGCCAGAGTTTGATCTCTAGATCAAAGCTGCTGTTCAAGAGGAATTCCCCTGGCATGTGAAATGGCAGGCTGCACATTACATTGTCAGAACTGAGGTGTACCCACCATCTCACTCAAGATATGCCATCTATACTTTGCCAGCTCCAGAGTGGGTGACCCTAACACAGCTTCCGAGGTAAGGGAGATCTTGAATAAGTGATTTTACCAGTTCCAACCCTTCCCCAAGTTTCAATGCTGAGCAGGGATTTGAAGCCAGTTCGCCCAAGTCCTTGCATGTCATTTTATGCACTACATCACATTATCTATTGATTACACTAGAACTTGTTTCCTAGCTGCTGTTTCAAATAGTTACTGGAAGCTCATTCACCAAAATCCTCTTTGCATAAGCTTTGCATAATGGGTAATTGCAGCTAATTGACAAGATGCCTGGGTGCGGATTTCAAAGCTTAGCCATTTGTTTGGAAATGTGCCCGAACAAGGTGTCGCTGGCATCTCAGCAGTCCACCACAGAAAGTCATGGAGATTATTTGCAAGTCACAATTGGATTCTAGTGGTTGTTTCTTATGACTACATCAAATGCATCATTTCTTGGACACACAGTCAAATTACACAAATGTAAGAGCAGGTGATACTTGGTTCTAATTGCACATCAAACTGCAAGCTTTCATGGAGAAAAGTCCCACTTCATCAGACCAAGCAGTTTCTGTGGTTGCTAAAAACAAATATTGAATACTGAATATTTTCTGCCCTCTCTTTCACATTTGAATATTTTTGTAAATTACTACTCTTTTTTTATGTCCAGCTTATACAGTATGGGCTTGATAAGGGCAAAGTTCAGCCTTTCTCAACCACCACAAAGAAAAAATCTCAGTGACACGCCCACAGAGGACAATTCAAGTTCTAGAGATTTAGGAAAGTTGAGCCTTGAAAAATGGCAACCTTAGGAACATATTTTAACAAGGCCTTCGTTCGCCTATTGCAATGGTAAGGAAATCAGTTCACCAGGGCTTCTGGAAATCAGGCCAATCCAAATTCAGAAGCCTCTTGTGTACTGTTTTATTGATCCAGGAGAATCAGGAGGGAAGGTGTGCTATTAATGGTAAGGGTTGCAACCACTATGGAACCTGCACAAATGCATCAAAACTGGGAAGAAGGGCCTTTCCCCGGAAAAGTCTCATTGGACTCAGTGTGGCTTATTTGTTCTATATGTTAAAACAGACTGACTGACACACGGATCAATGTTGAAATAAATGATCGTCTTTAATGTAAGGTTGTGCCACTGGAGACCACGACCATCCACACTCTTGTATTTCCACCATGGATGGGTGTGAAAGTTGGATGCTGAAGAAAGCTAACGGGGAAAAAACATGGATTTGAAATGGGGGGGTTTAGAGGAGACCTTTGAGGACTGCCAGAAAGACAAACAAGCAGGTCCTAGATCAAGTCATTCCAAAATAAACGTGTATGGATCAACACCCAATTGTCCTGAGGCGTAACTTACACTCTGTGGACAAGAAGCTATGGTTGGGACAGCATGTGGAGAAACGGAGTGGATTCCCATAGGCTAAGGTATCATGCAAGAGTATCTTTCATCTCCTCATCCGTTCCAACCATCAATCCAAATGGAGAACCTTTTAAGTATAATTAGTAATAGTCAAGTTCTGGAAAACAGAATTGTTACACATGCAGCAGTGAAATACTAGGTTCGCAACAGGTTATTTTCCAAATCTAAGAGAGGACCAGCTTGTTTGGCTCCCACAATCCACAGGACTGTTCATTTTTTTAAAAAAAAAAACATGGCTTTAGTCCCGTTCTCAGCCACTGCAAGAGGACCAAGACAGAACAACCAAACTTTGGACAGGTAACAGGCAAATCATTCGCCATCTTGGCATCATGATAGGTCTCAAAACCCTGCTGAAAACCATAACTTCAACGTCCCCTTTAATGAGAGGAAACAGAATTACCTTGCAATTTACAGTGAAAACCGCAACAGTCCAGGGCCATAATGTGTTACTCTAGATATGCAGATTGTGCCGGGCTTCTAGTGGACAAGCAAGCAAACAAGCACACAGAACTCTGCTTTTCTTTCCCAACCTGCTCTGTTCCATAGATGGGTTGTCTAAGCTGAGCTCTTACGCTCGTTCCCTGTTTATTTACAAAGTACAACAAGGGTTCTAAAGCATTCTGCCTTCCCAAAAAAATGAATTCAAAATGAGGTCTCCTTGATGGCTTTGTGAGGCTTACGCCCATTTATTCGATTCTGTGCCAAAACAGTCCAGAGATGGGGAGAGATCCAGAAAGCATTTGTAGGTGAACCACCCTCTTTTCTTGGACCACAACAGTCCTCTCCATGGTCTCAGTGGCCACACGGGGACAATGATCCAGGAAAAATCAGCCCCACCTTCCGCCACGGGGCAGTGTAACTCTGTCAGGGTTCAGAAAAGAAAAAAAAAAACATCCGGACTGGATGACTGGATGGGGCCCTCGGGGAGCATCACACCATTAAGAAATCCTTCAAGAGAATCTCTATTTTTTAAAACAAAGCGGATCCTCTTCCAAAGAAGCTCTTCGTGATGGGGCCAATGTCGCAGTGTTCCTGTTTGGAGCAGTTCCGCCTCAGGCAAAACAGGATTCGGGGAAGAAGGCAAGAGAGCGAGGGCGCTTGCTGAGGTTCCCCATTTCCACCTGAGAGGGGCAGCGCCCAACCCGATGGGTCCACCTTGGGAGGTCCACTTGTGAAAGGACCAAGGGAGGCCAAAAGCTCCCGTTACTCCCGCCGGGCCTTCTTGCTCTTCTTTTTCTCTGACTTTGCGACGGCGTCGTGAGCTTTTCTCTTCTCTGCCAGCTTGTTGGCCTGAAAGAGGAAGGAGAATATCAACGGATCGCACAATGTGTTGACCACCCCCGTTGCCAACACCTCCAAGACCAAGCTCCTTTAATGGGACTTCCTCTTGGGTCTCGGTGGGCAACCACCCAAAGCCCTGTGACTGCTTGGCTTGGAAGTCAAAAGGAATGAGGAGTCCTTCCATCATCATCACCATCTCCTCCTGGCTGGAAAAACGGGACAGGAGATCCAGTCACCATCAAGGCACTCAAGATCATACCAAGCCACCCCTACCCATGCAGCGAGGAGCTGAAAGATCAAGCCTTGTCTTGAGTCTGTGCACTCAACACCCTTTTCACAAGTGAGCAGATAGATCCACATTTAGTATCAGACTAAGGTGTGTTTCACACTTCCGACAGAAGACATCATTGGTTTGGAGTCTTAACAGACTGGACTCCCTTCTTCCTGGAACATCACATGCTAGAACAAAAATGGTAACTGCTCTTCCGAACATGGCAGACTCTTAAACCAGTGGTTCCCAAGCTTGGGTCCCAAGGTGTTCTTGGACTACAACTCCCAGAAGCCTTCACCACCAGCTGTGCCAGACAGGATTTCTGGCAGTTTCAGTCCAAGAACATCTGGGCAATGTTCTCCCTTGGATCAAGATTTTTGTTAAAAAAATCAACGTTCTGGGGACCCACGGTTGGGAACCACTCCCTTGGGTCAAGATTTATTTTTTTTAAAAAAATCAACACGCGAAGGAATGATACATCTCTAAAAATTAATGGATTTAAAAGATGCATAGATGAAATATTCTGATTTGGTGCTGCAAGAAGAACAAAGGGGACGAATCGATGCTCACAACAGATGGCCCAGCAGCAGGTTATGGTCTAAGCCTGGGTGGCCAGCTGTGGATATCCAGATGTTTCTGGTCTATCGCTCCCATCAGGCCTAGTCAGCGGGGATGTGTTACTGGAGTAACAGTTGAAAATATGGAGGGTCACCTTTGCCTGCCCTGGGTGTAAGCGAACACAAAGAGTGTTTTCTCTTGCACTCCATCAGGTACTGCATAAGGAAAGAGAAGCTGCGTCTCACTCATTTAATCTTCTTAAAGTTGATGCTACCATGAATTCTGCCTGATCTACTCCAAGATTTCAGCCACTATGGGGCAACATACTGCCATGTTTGCTATCTGACCAGAAAATTAAAAAACTGTCTGTTTTGGTCCTCTGCTTTGGACACATTCAATGTTCAGGAGTCTGCAGGTGCGACTTTCTTCAGCGTGGAGAGAAGCACCATCCCTTGCTAATAGCTACTAGCCAGGGGTGGGCAACCATGGTCCTCCAGACGAGATGGGAATGTGACTCCCAGACACCATTGCCAGTGGAGACAACAATAAAGAATGATGGGCACTGAAATTCAACAACATATGAAAATCTGAACATCTTAACTGTTAGAGCAGGATGACAATGGAGCCCATGACCTTGACAGGTGGTGAGCCCTCCAGCTCTGGAAGCTTTCAAAAGAAAACTGGGCAACCCTCTTTCAGTTCTGCTTTGATTTGGATTCCTGCACTGAGCAGGGGGTTGGACTGGATGGCCTTTGAGGCCCCTTCCAACTCCACGATTCTATGATTTTAGGATTAAAACCTCAAGCTACCTTGTGCTGAAGTTGATCAAGCTGCTATTAACAGGGCAAGAGACTCAAAAAAGAAAGAAAGACAGACCCAGGCCTCAACTTCCCAGCCTCGCAAGACTAAAAAAAAGTTTTCAAGATCTACAAGAACAGCAGAAAAAGTGGACCAAGCCTGCCGGGAGAGAAAAACTGCTCCTCCTCCATTACCTCCCGGATCTTGCGCTTCTTCCCAAACATGATCTTCTGGTACAGGTACTTCTCCCGCTTCTTCATCATCATGATGGCCAGGCGCTTCTCCTCGCTTTCCTCTTCCTGCCTCAGCCTCTGCTTGTCCTCTTTCAGGACTCTGCCGGCCGTCACCTTCACAGGGAGGTTCTAAGGAAGAAAGAGGCAGCCAATGGCCGATTCCGTTTTTATTTTTGGAAATTTTAGGCAGCCTTCAGAGAGCGAACAAAAGACGAACTGGATTTCAGCAATTAAAAAACAACCCAGGCACCAACTCTCACAGGCTGTTCAGAGAAAAAACGGGAAGAATATCAGAAGAATCTATACATTAAGGGGGCAGAAATCCTAACCAAATGAAGACTGGGAATATCCTTTCAATAAACCTTCCTATGCTGCTAGTTCATGTGACCAGTGGATCTAGATTTTTACATTCTTTTCATAAAACACAGGACGGGGTTTTCTGGCAGTGAATGGCCGGTGAGGCAGCAGTGGCCTGAAAAAACAAGGGCACTTGAGAATGAACGGATGGAAACGAGGGCTAAAGGAGACATGTGTGATAAAGCTCACATTTTCAGTCCCCTTATCCTAGCTGCCGATCAGATCCATCCATTCCTGACTTATTTCTTCCATCAGATCAAGAATTCATTTTGTTCATTTCACGTATATACTGTCCCATTAGTGCAAAGCACCATTAATGCATTTTGCAGTGATGAGAGGAAAATGGGCCTTGAAATGGGTGACGAGGAAAAACTGCAGATGCGAAGACCGTCAAAGCTGCGGATCATAGGCTCTTACCATCAAATACTGATCGACGGTAGACTCATTTATTCATTCGCCGACCTGCAATTTTGTTTGCCAGATAATTTCTCTTCACACTCTATTTACAATTCTCAGCAAAAACCCAAGGACACTCTGTTCCTGAAAAACTGCTGCCACCACCATTCCCAAATCAAACCATCTGTCTCTAGGACAGAACACGTCCTGCAAATTGGGCGGGGAAGAAATATAAAGGTGAGTGTCCTATGCACCTTGCTTTGTGTCCTCTGTTCTTCCATCTTTGCCAGTCTTCCTTCCTCTTCTTTATCAGACTCTTCCTCCTCGTTGTCCTCCTCTGCTGAGCTCGCGGTTCCCTCTTCCTCCTCCTCTTCTGACTCGCTCTCTTCTCCTACAGCATGAAACCGAGTTGCGTTACACCACAATCCCGAAGCCCATCGAAAGAGGAAAAGCCACCGCCGCTACCCACACCACGGAAGACACACACAGGAGGTTCTGCGTCACCAAAGGACCCAGCCCGGTTACCTGGCTTATCACCCTGCTGCAAGGCTAAGAGCTTCAGCTTCTCTGGCGGGATGTAGTCGCCCTCCTTCTCAGTGACAAAGGGCGAGAGGTGAGGAGGCAGCACCACGCCCAGGAAATAATCTGCCACGGGAAGGCACATCTTTGCATTGACGGAGTCAAAGACCCACTGGGGCTGGAGGTAATACCTGCGGCAGAAGGAAAGCCCATGAGGATCAGAAGGTGTGTGTGTTTTTGGGGGGAGGGAGAGAGACTTTTTCAAGGGCCTCCAGCATCAACCAAAAGAAAGCTTTCCTTTCTCAAATGGGGAAAAAAGGGATTTTTACACAGTCAAAACAAGGAATATAAGTATTTTGTGGCATGCACAGGAATTCAGGATGCTCTCTTTACACTTAGTCAAACCATTCATTCACTGACATCAGTTTTGCTAACACTGACTCAGTATCAAATACGTGCCTTTCCCACGGTAGGAATGGGATCCTGCCCCTTCTGCATGTAACGCATGAACTCGGGAGCTTCACGACACAGTGGCTGAACTGCAGTCAAGACTCTGCTCACAACTGAGTTCGATCCCAACAGGTCTAGGTAGCCGGCTTGAGGTTGACTCAGCCTTCCATCTTTCTCAAGTCAGTAAACTGAGTACCCATCTTGCTGGAGGGGCAATATGTAGCCTGCATAACGAAATCATACACTGCCCAGAGAGTGCTTTAAAGTGCTATGGGGTGGCGTATAAGCAGCACCCTTTATGGCTATGCCATCAAATGGATCTCATCACCAGTTGGCACAGAAATTTAGAAGAAATAGAAAAGCAGGGTTTCTAGATTTCTAACACGACCAAAAGGACTTCTCCTCGTAGGTAGCTGTGCATGTGGGAAGGCTGGAGCTGTCCTGGGTGACCGCAAAATGAAAAGGAAACAACAGTGCAATGAGGCTGCGACGAAACGTCTATGTAGTCCTAGTGTGAATGGAAGCACGGCATCCTCCGCACGGACAAGAGTGACCGTTTCAATATATTTCGCATGAGTCAGGCCACAGCTGGAGCTTTGTCTCCAGTTTTGGGCACCAAATTCAGCTTCCGACCAACAATGGCATGTCTAGGAGATGAGGGTGAAGGGTCTGGAAACCCAAGTTTTGCGACATGATTGAAAAAGATGAGCAAGGAGACCCAGCCCATCAGCTGCATTTGGTCCACCTCTGATAATCCAAGCTGATGTCTGGCTCCTCCCGAGGGAGATGGAGTGAAGGCTACACCGTCTTGGCATTCAACTCCAAAAATTAGGGTGGATAAAAATCAATTATTATTGGGTTTTTTTTAAAATGTATTTAAAAAGGAGATTATGTATTTAATGTATAAATGCATTTAAATCACGTTTAAAAATCCAATTTGTAAAATTTATTTTATTATTTAAATTAAGATTTAAAGCATTCTGATTCAAATCAAATCCACCCTGTCTAAAATGCTACAATTCTCTTGTTACTGTCCTGACCAAAAAAAAAAAAGGGAAGTACCGACCTGCCAATCACTTGCTCCTCCACGCCAGGCCGGTCCACAATTTGATGGGTGATCTTTGGATCTGTCACGTCGTAGGTGGCACCGATGCAAACCGATTTATCCCAGGACACTTCGCCCCCAAAGCACCTGACAAGGGTTGAGAGAACATCCTTTCGTCAGCTTGTTGAGCAGCTGGCTTAACACACATTCGGTCCAGGAAAAGACACAGCCTTGGTGTCTCGAGACAAGACACAACAAGGACCGATGGAGGGCGTTTTGGCTCACGTCGGATTCATTGGCAGTTTGGGGACCTGTTGGGGCACTGGTTCAAGTCCCCCCACCCCATCTGACCAGGGATGTTAAGGCCTACTCATATCCTGCGCCAAACTATCCAAAACCGTCGAACGGAAGAGAAAGCAAAGGCGACCATTAACCCTGAATAAATGCTGAAAATGAATTATAGTAAAAAGCTTAGCAGTTTGCCTTAATAAATGCCAAAAGGGAAAACAACATTTAAAAAGGAATAAGCATGGTGCTGCACTGCATAGGAATCCGGTTTTAAGAACGTTTTCGTTACAAGATTTTTTTTGCTTTATTTTCTCTCTTCCTATTGCGTTAAGATAGGCCTTTACTGCTGAGCTGAGAAGGGCTTAGACGACGTGAGTTGGAGGCACGAAAGCAGATCATGACGAGTTTGTGATAGACAAAAATTCTGCAACACACAGCGAACACAAAAACATCTCTCTGTGGCCATAATGCTATGCTGTAGTCCTAGCAGAGGACGACTCGTGCAAAGTCGGCATGAAAGGGATCTTAGTTAAGATCTATGAGATCGCCAGGGGAGTCCAGGCTCAGTTCTGTGCTCACACATGAAGGCCCGGGTGAGCAGTATCGGTCCAGTGTTCGTGAACAGCTGAATCGCTTACAAGAATGACTTCCTGATTTTTGACTCAAACAGAAGAAAACACAGCAGCAAAATATGACCAGCGTTAAGACCAGGATGTTCAGACCGCATCCAACAGGCGGGGAGAAGGTCCCCGGCGTGACGTACGTACCGGATGACGAAAGCCAGCGGTTCCCGGGGCACCTCCCGGTTGAGGAAGAAGCGCAGCCCCTCGAAGAGCTTCTTCTGCTTTTCCAGGGCTTCCTGCTCCTTCTGCCGGGCTTCCTGCTGTTCGGCACTCTCCTGGTTACAGCAGAACGCAGATCATGAGCCATCCATCCAACCAGCCCCCCCAGCTCTGTAGCAAGCCCATTTTTAACACAGCAACAACCAACCATGGGCGCCGGCCAAGCTGCCCCACACTGAACTCAGAGGCGAAAGTCCCAAGATCCACTCGAGTCTTCTCCTGCTGGGATCTAGACTCAAGGCGGAGAAGGAACGGCCACTATCCTCATCCCAAGGGGGAGAAGGAACTGGGCACAGACCGTTTTAGAAGAAGCTGCCGTCTTCCGACATACCAGGTCAAAGTCCAAACAAACAAAAACAAACCATGGAAAGACAAAAATAGGTGACACCTTGAAGATTATGATATTTTAACGTGAGCTTTCGTGGACTTTTCCACGAAAGCTCACATTAAAATAGAATAGTTTGATGACATATTTTCATTTTGTCTTGTTTTGTTTTTTTGGGCTTTGGCTGATGAGCACATCTTTGAAAGTGAACCCATTTGTTTTTCCAGTTTTTTTGAATAACAATCCACTCTTGGAGAGGAGGGACCCACAGGAGGGGTGGGTTGTAAATCAATGAAAATCCATAGTGAGATAAATCTTTAAGACCCCCCCTTTTTTTTTCTTTGCCCAAGAAGAAACCAGCCAGTTTATGTCGGTATGGTTCTTGTGGTTAGATCCTGCCAAGTCAGAAAAGACTTATAGTGACCCTAATAAGGTTTTCGAGGCGAGATATTTCAGGAGTGGTTTGGCCAGCTCCTCTTAAGAATCACCACCCAACCAAATCCAAAAGGCCCTTCACCTCCCAGCGGCATCCTCTCCATCCCTCGGCAAGACTCTCCTACATCCACTTGGTCCTTTCAAGGAAGGGCTGCTGGTCTCCTGCACGCTCTTCCCAGCCTCCCCAACATACAGGGGGACCCCCACACACCCTCCCCAGCCCTGGGATCTTGCACATCGCCACTTACTCCCTCCACAGGGAACTCATCCACTTCTGCTTCGTCCTCTGGGTTTGGTGCAACCACCCGGGCCAGGCTGGCGCTGAGAGCCGACAGTTTCTGCAGAGAAAAGAACAGCCGGTCGTTAGGAGAGACGGATGGGGATGATCACCCAGGGAAATAAGCTTGCGTTTTGGACTGCGGGTGGAGGGCTTCGGTAAGATCTATTTCCTAGCGATCACACGGCACACGGGGGAAATGTGCTCCAGCCTGATTCCCATCTGTGCCCAAACTGGACCTCTTTGGTCCAACGGTAGGGTGTCTACTTTTTGGGGTGGGGATGAAGCAATTTCCTGGCTGACCGCAGGGTTCTTTTAAAGAGATCTTTCCATGGTGGTCCTAGAATTATAGAATAACTGAGTTATTTGTTTGTTTGTTGATGCTGCTGAGAGATTTAGTGGAGGGCTTCAATATCAAAGATTCGCTATCAAGCGCATCAATTTATGGGTTTTTGAAGTTTTAGACGAAGTGGATGGAACGTCGGAGTGGGATGGCGTGGTTGAGGGACGTTGTTTGGAGGATTCAAGAAAGAGCCTTCTCCATTGCTTTGGTTTGAGAGGTGGCCTTACAAGGAGGTTGGGCCATTTTGGTTGGTTGAAGGGATTGTTCCCAAAGATGGAGTTTTAATCTGAGTAAGAGAGAACAGCAGACTCCGCGCTTGAGGTTCTTACAATGCTGGCAGGAGGGACATCTGGTGTGCCTCTCTCAAGAAAAAGAGACATTTGGTGTGGCCGTTGGAGAGTTGTATTTTGTTATCAGAGACCACACAGTAATTAAACAGGCCCAAAGGGGTCCTGAATAGGAGAAAATAATTTGAGGAGAAAAATG